CCCCAAAACCCCAAAACCCCAAAACCCCAAAACCCCAAATATTTTATCTTTTGCTGAACCATCAATTTAACCTTACTTTTGATATTTTAAAGCAGATGTATCGAGGTTTATACCAATTCTAAGAGCATGTCTGAGTCTACCTTCAAATCACTTATCTCTTGTGTGCTCACTTCTTTAGGTTGGTCCTTTTCTTCAGCAATATCACCATTGATTTCTACAAGTTCTTCAGCCTCAGTCTTTTTATTAAGTCCTTCAAGGGGCAAGACTATTCATAAAATTCTTCTCTTGCAGTCAAAGTATGCTTTGCTGTCACTTTTATCAAACACTAAGGGAAGGTTGACAGTCAAAGAGTACAAATTCGGTACATCGATGTTTATCTTCCTGTCCTGTGTAATAATCTTTATAGCATGACCTCTCATCAGAAGGTCTAGGTTGGCAACAATTACAAAATAAGCAAAGCCATCATTCAAACCATCGTACTCCTCTATTGGTTCAGTTTTAAGTTGTCTCTCATCCATAAAGTTCTGCATTTCTTGATCTTCATCTTCGTCCTCTTCTTCTTTTGTAGGGTCAGGGATGAGGTCTAATTTATCAAGCAGAATTTGGTCTTTCCACCATTGGTCATTATAGAGTTGTTCTTTTAAATCATGACTGACTCAGTAAAGTTTCCAATCAGGTCTTTTCTGCTTCACAACAGTCTCGTGCTCCTTAACTTTAGAGTAAGATCTTTCTTGAATTTCCTTCTGTTCTTCCTCAGAAAGTGTTTTAGAATCCAACTGCTCTATCTTGGGATCTTTCTTTGCACGAACTCTTTGAAATTGGACTGTCTTTCCTTTATATTTCAACTTTGGAACTGTGTATTTCAAATCAAGAGTGAGCTCGTATTTTTGCTTAATGTATTCAAAGGCAAGTTCTACTAACCCTTGCTTGTACAATGGCTCTTTCATAGCCTTCTTCGCTGCCTCAGGGTTCCAAATGACATCAACTACTCTACAAGGATCTCCCTTCTTATCGAAATCTTCTCGAATTTCTCCGAGTGATAGAGGAATTCTGACAGCTGGTTGATCAGAATCAGGTAGATGTTTCTCTTGCGGAGGATCAACAAGTTCGTGGGAAGTCATATTGACGAACATCTTCTGACCATTCTGATCCTTTGATTTGATTACAAAGCATTTATTTGGCTGAATAGTGCAACCTCCTTCAGGATCAATGTAGGGCTTTCCTTCTTTCATTGCTTTATCTCTCATTTCTTTATCAATATTTTGAGTAGGAGTTTTGTATGCATTAGGATCTTTCTTCATCTTTTCGTATAAAGCAGTTAATTCCTCTCTTGAAAGATTAGCAAATGGACTGTTTTTCAAATGCTCGGGTAGATTTCTAAACGCCGGGTCTCTGTTCAGGCTATTTCCACTTGTAGGCATTGAACCACCAGGTCCAGAGGATGAACCGGCAGTCAAATTTTGCCTAACATGTTCTGGCAAATGTGAAAGCTCAGGAGGAACATCATTTGTATTTTCCCCTGTCCTGACAGACTCTGTGGCTTGATGTAGTTCATTCCAAAAATCCATTTTTAAATATTTGCCTAAATTTTCAATAAATTCAATAAAGTTTTCCAAAGTTGGGGTTTTGGGGTTTTGGGGTTTTGGGGTTTTGGGG